TGTGATAGAAAAGCAATTCAGCCATATAAAAGGATTTTTTTCTTTATCTAGAACCTAGATCAGTTATTTATCACAAATAGGATTCTTTTGGATATAGTAGCTATTCTTACACCAACATTTTAACTTTCTGTGCCAAAAAAAGGCATCTGTCATGGTCTTGGTTCTATTAGTTTTTTTTTTTTTTTTATGAGTTTTCAGTTTTACTTTTCTCCATGTTTTCTTGATTTATTGGTTTAATTCCTATTTTGTTGTGTTTTCTGGATATATTTGAGATCTTAGGTTTTTATTTGTTGCTCTGTTGCCCTCTTGTGTTGGTCTCCTTTTCCCTAGCTCCTTTCTAGACTCCTCTCTTCACACCTGCTCCTAATCAGCTCGTTAGTCCTGCCTTTGTTCGCTCAGCCATAAATGCTCTCCCTGTGCAGTTCCTCAGTGCTGGTTCCTTGTCTTTCCTCATCTTACCCTGGCTCCTCGTAATTGTTTGCCCCTGATGTCTCCATGGTTCTGGTTTGTGTTACATTTTAAGTTGGATTTTGGATTTCCGCCTCTGTTAACTGTGATCATTAATTAAAACTGCAAGAATTAACCACAGCCTCCCTGCATCTGGGTCCTCAAAACCTCAACCCAACCCTGACAGCATCTGCTATATCAAAGTCATGTTTTTATATGAATTTTTAAACGACTGAGCTATACAAAAGAATACATGGGAGTTATCAGAATATCTGTCTCAGCCACTTATATTTACATTTATTTAAAAACCACAGAGATTTTCCTAATTTCATTTTGCGTGTTCAAGAAAAAGCTGCAAAAAAATGTACATGTTTTCCACACAAATTTAAACATGTTTTCTTCCATAAAAAAAAACAACTTATAAACAATATGAAGTGTCAATGTGATCTACTTTTTTTTACAGTTCCTCCAAAGATCCTGCCATCTTCTAGTTGCACCGAAACTGCAAATCAGATCAACTGTTCCTGTGAAATCATGGGAAACCCTCCCCTGTTGCTGTGGATATTTAACGGGCAGCCTGTCAACCAATCTGGGAAGGATTTTGCAATCAGTGAGTCTAAGAATGGGCCAAATCTAAGGAGCATCATCACAATGAATCAGGAGAGAAACATGTCATCTTTGCTCTGCTTAAGCTTCAATTCATTGGGATCAGACAGCAAACAGCTTTTTATCAGATCCCCTCAGATTTCAACAGAAATGCAAGGTTTGTCTGTCATTTGTAAAAATGTTTTATGAATAACTGAAAAATCAACTATTTGACTAAGATTTTATAGCCAAACGGCAACAGTAACAGTCAAGTTTACCTTAACAGCAATTTACAGACAGGGCTGCAGATCTAGGACTTTGATTGCAATACTGAATAACTCTGATTAACTCAATTTGTCAAGAATACTTTATAGGAGGCAATTATTCAGCTGTGTTCATTTACATATCTTTAAACTCCAGCTAACGCGTCTCACTAAATGAATGACTAACATGTAGTATTAAATATGAAAAGAAAAAAAATAAATAAAAAGATGGTTCATCATTGATGTTTTAAAAACTGAATTAAAACATGTTATTCTTCAGTGGGAACACTTTATGTACAACAATTTAGGTGGTATTATCTTCTACTTTCTTACAGTTCCTCCAAAGATCCTGCCATCCTCCAGTTGCAGCAGTACAACAAATCAGATCAACTGTTCCTGTGAAATCATGGGAAACCCTCCCATG